AACGTGAAGAAAGTCATAGTATGACGTTATGGCTTCAAGACAGATTTTCAATCACTAACAAACCAAGAACGTCCTTTTCCTTAAGTGTACTTGCAAAGAGCACTATGTTCCCCACAGGATACATTCATTTTCTTATCAAAGCATAAGCTATTCCTTTTTTTTTTTTTTTTCAGAAAACAACAATAAAGTTCATCTGCTTTTGAAAAACACTAAAAAATTATATTAGTGAGATTAGTTAGTTAAAGGCATAGGATTCAGTTTAACAGTGATGGAAAACCAAGTGCAATCTGGGCAGAAATCCTCCAAAAGCATGAAACAGAGCTCAGCACTCTTTTAAGAGGCTCCATTTCCCAACTGCAGCAGAAACACGTGCTCACACTGTTACTCAGAGCTACATTTGTTCTCTCTTGCTTTGTGAATCAGGAACTAAGGAAACCTTTGCTATAACTCTCTCCAAGCTGGGAATCCTGCTATCCTTGTGAAAGCTTATCGCCTAGATTTTAAATTCCTTGATAAAGAAAAGAAATCTAACCCCATTTTTTACACAGCTTATTTCCCAACATTTTAGTGAACCTTGCTGACACTGACATTCTTTGCTATTCCTGTAAAAGAGCAGGATTCCAACTTCAGCTTCACTCTCCTTCTGCTCTATAATGTGCCTCACATTTGCCATTTCTAAGGCCCTGAAACACAAAGCTTGAATAAAACTGTCATCACAAGTTTGCTTCTGTGGAACAAAGTTTAAAAGTGTGTGGATTGCACACTGCAGAAAGGTATAATCTTTGAGGACCATCAAGTCAACACCTCACAGCTAGCCTGTACCTCCTACAAGAATATGAAAGCAAATTAAGGAAAAAAAAAAGTTTTATTTTTCAGAGTTGTTTCTCTGCCTCTAGTACACCAACCAAATACATTACTCTCACCTGTACTTTCTCTAAGAAGTACCATATAAAACCTGGAGAACTTCCAGATCTTTGAAGGCAGCTATAATTATCAAATACCTGCTGAGGCTACTCATGGAGGTGGGTGGGGGAAAGGCAAGAAGCAATCCATGGCTTAAAAACAAGACATTTTTGCATGATTCTTGAATAACCAGCCAATCAGACAGTAGGATATTTATTTCTGATAATGTACATGTGTGAAACTGCCAGAGAACTAATAATTGACAAGGTGGCAGAGTCCAACAGAAAACAAGAAGTTATTTCTCTCTATCTAGTTAAGTGAAAAAGTGAAAAAGTTACGAACTAGACAAAAGCAGCTGTGGAGTAACAAAGAACACCTCCCTCACAATTTAACTCCTTGTAGGATCAGTGCTCAGGGGATGCAGGTCAAGGAGAGAGAACTGACATTCATTTGAGATACAGGTGCATTGACAAGGTGGTCCTTAATTCCCAGTGTTTCAAGACCACTTGCTTCAGTTTCTCTCACAACATGGTAATTTAATTCTCTGGTTTGGTGAAACTATCACCCACCAGTGATCATTAATAGCTTTCTACACACCATGTTCAATTACCTAAAAGATGAACAAAATGAATCAACAAATAAATGAATGAACTAAGTCATGAACAGCATGAGAGAGAAAATTATGGCTGCATTAGGGGAAAACATGGTCAAAAGCTCAACATGTAAGACTTGACCTTCTTCTAGCTAGGTTGGTACACAATTAGATTTCATTAACTGAAAAATTCAGATTGAAAGTAATTTTAAATTAAATACCAACAGCAAAGGGCTTATAAGAAGTCCACCTCTACATTACATTTTAATGTAGTGTTGAGGCTGTATAAAATCAGCTGTCTTCAGTTAATTTTTTCCATACTCAACTTGATTTGCACCATGTTAACTTTTTTTCCCCAGACAGCACTCCTTCTGCTGTAAACTTCAGCAGAATCTATCACTGTAAAGGTAAACTGCCACAAACAAACCCTATTTGTTGAATAACTTCATATGATGCTACACAGAATTTTATCATCCTTGTTTCACAGAATCAAGTCATTAAGGCTGGAAAAGACATCCAAGACCATCAAGTCTCAAGTCTTTGAAAAGTTCCACCTTGTCAATCATACCATGGCACTGAGTGCCAAACCCAGTCATTTCCTGACACCTTCAGGGATGGTGACCCCATCACTTCCTCATGTTGTCCATTCCAGCATTTAACAACCTTTTCCATTAAAGAATTCCCCTTGAATCTCCCCTGGCACAGACAATTTCAAGTGCAGCAGCAGAAATAAAATAGCAAAACTAATTAAAGAGAAAAAAAGCCATCCAGGATTTCAGCAAACAGAACATTACACATGACCCAATACTACTTTCTCAGAAATACACTCAACACTTGAGGTATACTCCAACCTGTAAAAACAAAGAAAGCAGAATATTTTAGATTATGTTCTAAAATGACAAATATTTTGTTAAGGGTATAGAAAGATTAACACAATTTAAGTGAATTCTAAATACTTCATGAATGAAAGTCATTAAGAATGTATCCAAGTTCTAGCTTACTTTTAAAGCATTCTCAGGAGGGAAAAAAAAATGTTCAGTAACACTGCCAGGTGATTTACACAGTTAAGATGAAAAACTACAAACACTTGTTATGGAAAAAAGAATCAATCCACTAGGCAGTTTGCTGCAGAAGATTCAACCCAGTAACCTCTGTTTTATCATGCTGAGAACCTGTATTGTGCAGGATGAAGACTAAAAGCAGAGACAGAAATTCAAATGAGCACTGCAGAACAAGGATTTACTGAGCTACACATAAAGATCAAAGGTTGATCTATTTGGACTTTTAACAAATACGTAATACTTTTAAACTATACATAATGTCTGGTGTTACTTCAAAGCATGCAGACAACTTTCCATAACTAAAAAAGCAAAAAAAATATTTGAACCTCAGTACATTTTCCAAGAGTCCACCAGAACAATAAAATCCAGAGTCCTGGATAAACAAACAGGCACCTATTAAAACATTTTGTTTCTAAAGAGTTCCTACAGCCTACACATCATACTTCCAAGCTCCCTACAACTTCAAATATGCAGAAACTTAAAAATAAAAATAAAATCTATAAATACTGTGTGCAACAGAAAGAGAGCAACTGCACCCAAAGCCTTGAATTCCTATAAAAACAATGAAATCATGAGCCAAAATGTCCAAAATATTAGACAGTTCCTGCCAATCTGGCTGGGACAGATTCCAGGCAACAAATCCAGTAAAATTTTGATCACTTACCAAGGTATATCAGCATGCCATTAGCAGTAAATCCCATTCTACACTTGCAACACTCCAGACAAAAGACAACTTGTATATTATCACATAAACTGAGGGAGAAACAACACTTTTCCCTGCCCCTGAGAACAACTTGGGGGGGAGCATCAAATTAATTCAGTATAAATACAGGAGAAACATGCACAGTCTATAGATAGTAATAATATCTCCTTTCAGCATGTCTTGGCCTAATCAGTTAACTGGATGCCAATCGGACTTTACTTGGAAGCTTCTATTTCATCTATTTTTTCAAGTTCAATTTAGTTCTATTTCTCACTGTTCTTGATGACCCTTCTCATTAGAAACTTCAAATTTCCTCATGTCGCATATATCGCCAAATTAGGGTTCACAAACTTAATTGACACTGATACAACACATGAAATACAACCACACAATCAACCATCTTTGAAAACAGTGTATGCAGACCTACATCCAGAAACTTGTCTTCTATTTTATAGACCTTATTCCACAACCCTTCCTCGTCACAAATTCAGTATCATTAGCTCCGTATATAATTCCTTTCAGAATCCATTATGTTTTACATCCATTTTAATTAAAGTTCTGCCTGTGAAAAATTCCGGATCTACATCTTCACAAGAAAACTTTACTAAAACATATAATGAAATTTTCCACTTGCTAAGCTTCAAATGGGCAGCAGAAAATACTGAGTCCTCAGTGCATATTCTAGGTTAGAGAAGAACATAAGCTAAATAGAAAATAATTTGTCCATAGCAAAGAAAATATTTTGCCAACAGTCCCTAGATGTAAATAGCTGTTCCTAATCTCAAGCTTAATTCTTAAGCTCTTGCACTAATTTCATTTGTGCTTTGAGCTGTCATGCAAACTGATGTTTTCAGTGACCACACTGCTGCTGAGTTTCTAAGTGAACAGAAGTGTTTCTTCTGACTTCCCTTGCTGTGTGTAGCTGTCCATAACCTCCCTGCAAAATTTCACCCTTCTTAGCATGGTCTTTGTGAGGAAGACTGGCCTTGTCTTGCTTGCCTGACAGAGTCACATGAGAACACTGCTGGGATCTAAAGGGGCAGATGGGCTTGACACCAGGCCAGATTTTCTTTCAATTGTACAAATCCAATCATCCCAAATCCAGCCCCAAAAATGCATTTACAAGTGATGTAGGCAGCTGGTGCAGGTGGGCTTGGGATCAAATTTAGTTTTTCTAAGTAGCCAGCAGCACAGTGTTTTCATGTGACATGACAGTATATTTATGTAAAAAGCTGAGAGTATCCCCACATGAAAATACATTAGAAATGCAGATAAGCAGAAGCCTTTGTTTATATCGAAGGAAAATGATGTTAAAACACTCTTTTCAAACACCAGAGGCATAAAAATCCAACACACAGTAGCATGCACTCATGACTCCTTAGTTAGAGCAGCAGCAGGTGTCACTTCCCTCTTCATAGGTATAGTCTTCACTTGCCAGAATCAATTCAACAAAATGAAAGGATAAAGAAATTTTGTAAAGCAACATTTCAGCAACAGTAAGCCCCAATATACCTACTTCTCTTCCATATTCTTATTCTTGCTTTCAAATATCATACAGTTCTGCTGAGTACTTATTACAGATTTAAAACAAATGCATGCTATCCTTTTCATCCTTTTCATCAAAAATTAGAGCACAAAAAGAAAACACTTCAATAATTACATTTCTGAAACCGCAACATGTTCCATGACTATTTTTAACAAAAAACATGTATTTTAAATAAAGAAATGAGTTTTTCGTTACCTCTCTAAGATGCATGTTTTCCTTCTCCTTCTGATCTAAAATCACTTCTAAATGATTAACCTGAGATTCAGCCTCTGCCATCCTTCGAGTTCTCTCATTGTCATCTTCCATTCCTTTAGAAGGCAAACCTTTACTTTGCAACATCTCTAGAAGCTTTTTTATTGATTCATCTCTGGCATTTAGTGTTTGCTTTTGTGTTTCAATCCTAAGCTCCATTTCTTCTAGAGTTTTTCTCAACAGGAAGAGCTCTTTAGCTTGTCTATCATGTTCTGCCTGAAGTCTTCGAAAATTCTCCTCCGTGAGCTCAATGGTAAAATGCTCAGCCCCTCGGTTCCCACTTTCTTGCTGGAGAAGATGGTTAAGATCTCTCTGGGTTCTAAGCTCATCTTGAAGTGCCTGGATTGTCATTTGCAGATGCTGCAATAAAGAAGACAAAAGAAAAATTAGCTTAGGATCTGATCGTAGAATTAGTATTTGATTAAAGCTTTGTTGTATGCTGTTACAAAAAGTCATTAGAATTAGTAATGAAAATATACCAAATGATCTTATAAAATATCAAATGCAGGTGACAATATTTGTAATGATATCTTTCAAGTGCTTCTAGAAAGAAAAAAGACGACAACATACACAGACACAAAATAATGCCAGCTACAGATAAAATTAATAGCAACAAATGCAAACACTAGGCAGTGACACATCCATTAGAACAATCAATGAGTACCTACAAAGCTCAAAGACTCAGTATTCCATGTTTTCTAAATTACCTCATAGACTAAAGATAAATCTGCTCTTTGTGGTGCTCAGCAGCACTGATGTTCATAAAGTCAATCAAAGCCCTCGCTAAAATTAAAGGGGACGTTGGGGAGGGACTGAGTTGGGACTGGTTGGTTCCATTTTTTCATTTTGGAAGCTAAAGCTATAAATTTTAGTAAACAGGATTACTGCATCTCTAAAAAGCAAACAAAAAAAACACAATAAGCAATACTGAATTTTTAAAAAGAAATTCACTGCAAGTAGTGGACAAACCTTTGTTCTTCTGGCATCCAAAAACTGAACAGCATGGTAAACGAAAAAATGAAGCAAAATCAACATAAATAAAGGTCAGATGCAAGCAAAGAAGATTCAACAGAAAGAACTGAATTCAACAAAAAGTATATTCAACAGAAAAAAATAATTTTATTGAGTTATACAGAAAGGCAACAACAAAGTCACTTTACTCAAATACATAAACATAGACAGACTTCACTCACTAGAGGTGACAAAGAAAAGCATATTTGAAATAATCAGTCCCATGATAAATTACAACATTCCTATTGGACATTGCTGGTCTTTTACACTTTTACGTTTTTCAGAACACTAACTTGTCCTAAAATATTTATACTACATCTGAGTACAGGGATCTGTCTCTGTTCCAGAGGACTGTCTTGCACTCCTTACTCAATGCAAGTCAAAATCAAAGTGGATTTTGCCAAGTTAAGGTTAGAGTACAGATAATTAGCCTAAATTTCTATGGCTTATGATGTTTATTTCAGATTGTATCCTCATATGACAATTTGTTTTTCTTCTTGTTTTCTTCCCTTTACTCATTGCCTACACAACATAGTGAGCTTTTAGAAATATGAATTCCTGAACAGGCTCACAGTCTGTACTAAGACATTAAACTGAAGGAATTAGGGGACTTAAATGCATGTCATCACACCTTTTAGATTTAATTGATGTTCTGCTACTCCACATTCTAAAAAACAAAACAACAGAAACCAGACCAAATAAAACCCAAAACAGCAACAACACAGACACCAAACTAACGATAAAACTTCATTTTATTTGATACTACCTTGATGTTTTACACAAGGACACATTAATCTGTTGAGTTTTTGCAATTATTTAAACTAAATGAAAAATTCTTAATCTTGAGAAACCAACCTTTTGAAATGTTTTTTATCAGTTATTTCAAATGGAAAATAAGTATTGCCAGTGATAGAATTCATTAAGACACTGAATCTGTTTCATCATTAAATAAGCACTATTTTAATGTATGTCCAGATCTTAATTCTCTTGGTAGCTGCATCTTACTAGGCACACACTCAGCTGAGAGCATACACATGTGAGCCACTCATTTAATGGCAACCCTTATCTTTTCTTAATCTCACCATTTTTTAAATTAGCTATAATAAGCTTAAAAACTCCAGTATACTTTAAAATCCTTTAGATGTAGAAACTTCCCCACTTTGAATCTACTAATGTGCCAACTGTTTGTGACCCCAAGACTAACTACACCTTTTGGCTTCCAAAATTATTTCACTGTCCTACTTCTCACACCTGACCAAGAACCTTCTCTGTACTACTCTGCTACAACTAAGCAACAGCATATTCAGTAACTACCAGAACCCCAGAAATAGTCAAAATTATTTCCCTGGTCTGAATAATGATTTAAGATACATCCTCCTAATGTCAAATCAGACAATATTTATTACTTCATGCTACAATTTACAAATGAATGTTTATTCCAAAGTAGTCCCTATATATCAGATGTTGATATGTCTATAAAAATCTAGCTGTGCAAAAGAAAACTAATTCTAAAATACCATTCTAACCCACAAATGAAAGTAAACTTGACATACACACTGCTAACACACAAATATTCTGAATGTAAGCTCTAAAAACCAAAAATTGTTAGATTAACACAAAAATAATTAGAAATCAGAATTCAAACAACCATTCTGGTTAAGAGAAATGAGACAAGTTCCTTTTCTGCCCCCAACAGCCTGTGCATGCTCTCCTTAGGCTCCACCCAGACCCACGGCTGTCACTAAGCATGACAGTAATTCTGGCTGCTTCTCTGTGATTATCTTAAAGCTAACAGCCTCAACTGTGGCAGACTACTGCTACTTCGACATAAAAGAATCCATTTTTGTACACCTTCAAGACTTAGAACATGGTGGACCAGATTTAGAATTCCGCTGGCACAGATTTTTCTATCTGCAGCTTGCTAAGGAAAGGAAAGAACAAATGTTGTGAGGGTGGAAAGAAATTGTATAATTAACTGCAGGGGAAGGAATGTAGGAGTGCTGTGAATATCTGTCACATGGCTATCATTACAGACACTTTTTAAAAAAAAATTCTGTAGAGTTCTGTAACATTTATCAGATTTTTTATAATTTCTATTAAAAATGGACCAGTTGACCAGAAATATTTCCATGCCAATTTCTTGACAATATATAAAGAGTTTCCTCAGAACTTTTTCAATCCTTTTCCACAGCCCAGCTCCAAGAAGCAATCCATGGAACTGTGAATTGCCCCATAAACTGAAACAAAACTATAAAAGGAAGATTAGCTAATGGCTCTTCACAGACTTCAATTCATGTTCTACACAAGGAAGTTCCTCTAGTCTACACCAACGAACTACACCCAAAAGAATTGCCTGCTGAGAACTCTCCTGCCTCAGTGTGCTTTGGGTCACATTAACACTTCCAGGGCATCCCAAAGCCACAGATGTGGTGAACAGTAGGGAGGAATGAATTCACAAGGAGACTTGCTGATTTAAAATTGCTGGTCCACCTACAGAAGCAGACAGCTTCTCATGCTTTGCACCATCACACTGCCACCAAAAGCAAAGAACACGTTCAAGAACCCAAGTCCACTGGATTTTAGCTCCTGATTCTCCTGTTTCTTTCCCACCCCAGTAAACAGAGAATTGGCAGGGCTGAATCAGTTGACATAGTCTAGTCTCTTGGCAGTGGCAAATATAAAATTATACAGAAGACTGTGCAAAAAAAAATCATCCTATGTAATTGTATGCTATAGAAAGCTATACCTGAATGCACCTCAAATAAAACAGCAAATTATCCTGTCAACCATACTCTCATTCTCTAACATCAAGCTTCCTTATTTATTCCATAATCTATTAGCATTTTATTTTCATTCTCCACAGTATGAGGCTCTGTCATTGAAAGGAAACAGCCTAAAAGCTTTCTTATGAACTGCATCAAGATCAATTTATATGTTAAATTTAGTTGTGCTACTGAAATAAGTACAAGCATTACACTTGCAAATATTTGTAACTAAGTATTGTTAAAGAAAAACATGCAAATCCCAATTTTCTTCTTTAAAGAAAAAAAAGGGAATTGAAGACATTTTCTTCATTACCATAAATTAAGAAATTAATTCTGTCATGCATTTCCTCATCTGCCTATTATAGTTCATAAATCTGGTATCCAAAAAACCCAAAAAAATTCTAGGCGACTAGAATTTTGCCTGAGTAAGACAGGACTGACAGAAAGAGTTGGAAGGAGAAGACAGATCTAATTTGGGAGGAATAGCAAGAGATTCTGACCACACACGAATCTTTAGCATTAAAAATTCTGAGCGTGAGATGTGAGAGAGCTTTTGCATAACACTGTTTGCTGATATAACCACATATTCGAAAAGAGAGAAATCTTGTCTGACTTTGCTTACTTTTTCTTTGTTTATGCCTTTAAATTTTGTGTCTTGTCAAGTTCTACAAAGCTTGCCCTTACAAGCGTGCCTTGCAAGTTTGATAAGGAATCTTGTCACACACACTGAAATCTGCATTTCTTAACACAGATGTGGTGGGCTGAGCTTGGCTGGAGGCCAGGACTCCACCAAGCCACCCTATCACTCCCTCCTCAGCAGGGCTGGGGGCAGGAGGGGAAGAAGATGAAATAAAACTCATGGGTCAAGTAAAGGCAGTTAAATAAAACAAAAGCAAAGGCCATACACAGAAGCAAAGATTCACTCTCTATGTCCCTTGAGCAGCCCATACCCAGGCACTTCCTGGCCAGTAGGGCTTCAGTACAACTGCTCCAGAAGACAAACACTGTAATAAAGAACACCCCCTCCTTCAGTTTCTTGTTCAAACCTTTCCTCCCTCTCCTCCTCCACTACTAATCAAGTGCCCACCAGGATGCTCTATCACTCCCCTAAGCTTGCCCCTCATCCTGCTTTGCAAGTTAAAAAAAGGAATCTGGTCATATACATTTAATTTTTTTTTTTTCCCATGGAATAGAGCTCAGTTCAGGAACAGAGCTCAGTTCCCTGTGACAAATGCAGATCTTAATTCACACATAATCCTGCTTCTAAATTAAATACTCTCATTATGTCCATTTTGTTTTAATTTCTTGGCCCACTCTGATCATCGCTAAATCTAATTTCTCCTCAGGCTCCAAACCAGCAGTGAAGAATGCTGATCCTATGGCATTCTACTACAGTTTTTAAAAAATCCCCAAATGATTATGTAGTCCCTAGAGTTTTCTGAGAGGGTAAATCGCCCTCCAATACATCAGTAATCTATTCTGGAATCTGACAGGGCAATGCTGACATATTTAATCTGAAGTATCAGTCTTCACTACTATTCAGTCAGCTTCTCTAGGTCATCTCACCTAAGTATTTTGGCAAAA